GCCAATACAAAATTACAAAAAAAAAAAAAAAAAAAAAATTTCCATTTAAACTACGAGTGATATTAATGAAATTTATATGCAAAATGCGAATAAAATATTTTAGCGTAAAAAAAAAATTAATTAATCTATTTTTAACATATTTTAAAAGTATTTTATATTGATTAAAAATTAAAAAATCCGCAAGCCGAATAACAATTAACAAGTGTTATGCGAACCCTCTGGCAAAAGTCAATAATAATATAATATAATATTATAATATTTTTCTCTCTCACTTTTTCTCTCTCTCTCACTTTCTCTCTCTCTCTCTCTCTTGTTTATGGGATTTGCCCATTCAGTCACGTCAGATGGTGTAACACCTCAACAAACTGCGCTCATGGAATTGGGTCGATGACGTCATCGTCTGGCCGTGCTATCGAGCGGGCCATCTGTGTCAGCGTGAGCTGAGCTGCGTAGCTTTTCGCTCGCTATCAGCGCGTCGATCGGCAAACGATTTAGCGCAGTTCTCACGCGAATTCCATGTTCAACGTACGTGAACTGTGCAAGCTGCAGCTCTGGCTGCCGCTGGGCCTGGGCCTGTGCCTGAGTCTGTGCCTCGGGCGGCCAATCCTCGCCAGCCATGTCCGGCTGCCCGGCTACATTCAGCGCCACATGAACGCCAGCGCCGATGCCTGCGTGGACTTCTATGAGCACGCCTGCGGGGGCTGGTCGCTGGCGCATGCCGATGACGTCTATGCCAGCCAGCTGGAGCAGCTGGACTATGAGTATCATGGCAGCCTGGCGGAGCTGCTGGAGCAGCAGCCCGGGCCGCAGGAGCCGCGCTTCGTGCAGCTGCTGCGCGACAACTATGTCGCCTGCCGGCGCCTCGACAAGCGCTACGATGCGGCGCAATTTGTGCGCTGGCTCGCCGAGTGGAGCAGCGGCGAGGCTGAGAGTGCGAGTGAGAGTGAGAGGGAGAATGGGAGGGCGTTGATACACTTGCTGAAGGCCTACGGTCTGGGCGAGCTGCTGCAGTGGGAGAGCGAGGAGCAGGAGCAGGAGGCGGCGACGCTCAGCGATGCAGAGCAGCGGCTGCTGCAGCTGCAGTTGCCGTGGCCCAATCCGGGCGATTACCTGAGCGATGCAGGTGACTATGAGATGCTGACGCACGCGAGCTTCGGGCAGCTGTACCGCGAGCTGCAGCCGCTGGGCGTGGCCGAGCGCAGGCTGTGGAAGCAGCTGCACCGGCTGGAGCAGCAGCTCAGCCGCTGTGCGCAGCAGCAGCAGGAGGCGGAATCTCAGCAGCAGCAGCAGCAGCAGCAGATAAAGCCACTGATGCTCTGGCTGCTGCCGTTGCCAGCTGCCAGTGCTGGGGCAAGTGTCAGACGCCGGCCGGCCTATCTGAGCTGCGTGTCCGCGCTGCTGGCCGAGCAGCCGGCGTCGCTGCTGGCGGTCTATCTGCAGCTGCGGCTGCTGCAACTGCTGCAGCAGCTGCCCGCGCCGGCGTTCGGCCGGCAGCAGTGCGCGGCTCAGTCGCGCCAGCTGCTGACGCATGCGGCCGTCTGGCTGCTGCAGCAGCAAGTGCCGCACGCGCAGCAACAGCACACGAACGACACAATGCACCAGCTGTTCGAGCAGCTGCGCCAGCAGTTCAAGCTGCAGCTGCAGGCCAATCGCAATCGCTTCGACAATGCCACGCAGAGCTTCCTGCTGCAGAAGCTGCAGCGCATGCGGCTGCGTGTGGGCGTGCTGCCGGGCGGCAGCCCGGAGCAGCAGCAGCAGCAGCTGGAGGCGCACTACGCCCAGCTGCGGCTGAGGGCCAACGACTACTACGGCAATCTGTTGGCCCTATTGAGGCAGGCGCAGCGCTGGGCGGCGGGGGCTGAGGCGGAGCACGGGCTATTCGTGGTGCAGTCGGACGGCTTTGGCAGCTATGCCTCGTGCTTCTTTCTCTTCCCGCGCAATCTGGTGGTGCTGCCGCACTCGCTGCTGGGGGCCAACCTGTACAGGCCCCAGCAGCCAAAGGTGCTTACGCACAGCGGCCTCGGCTTCCTGCTGGCGCACGAGCTCTCCCATGGCTTCGATCTGAGTGGCGTGGTGTACGATGGGCGTGGCAAGCTGGCCAGCAGACAGCAAAGGCAGCGCCTGGCCACGAATGCGCGTTTCGCCAGCCAGAAGAGCTGCCTGAAGCGACGCCACGCCGAGATCGCCGACGAAAAGTTCGCCGACGTGAACGGACTTTCCCTGGCCTACGACAGCTACTTCACGGCCCACTGCCAGCACAAGGAGGCAACAGGTGCCAGGTGTGGCACGGCGCTGCAGCGGCACTTCTTTCTCAACTTTGCCCAGTTCTTCTGCCGCGACGACCTGCAGCTGGAGGACACCAGCGAGCACGGGAGTAGTCGGCAGCGGGTCAACGATGCCGTCGCCAGCTCCGAGCACTTTGCGCGTGCCTTTGGCTGCGAGCGCAGCCGTCACAAGCTCTGTCAGCTCTACTAATTTAGATTCTAGGCAACATTACTAATACATATATCTATATATTGTATATTATTATTATTTTTAATAATGAAAGTGGCAGAGGCGAAGCTAGGGAGAGCTTGACTCGCTGAGTGAGCTTCGCTAAGAGTTAGATAAATACATTTTAAAATAAATAAATTCATTAAATAAATAAATTAAATATAAATAATTTACAAATTTAAATGAGGCTTGATAGAACTAAAACGAAAAAAAAAACATTATACAAATACAAGAAACTCGTAGCAAAAATAAAATAAAATAAACTTAAAGAAACATAAATAAATGAATTAGAAAATAAATAAATAAATAAATAAAAAAAAAGCTAGTTGGAATCAATTTTATAATGAGAATTTGGTTCAAAAGAAAGAAAAGAAAAAAAAAAAAAATAGTTTTTACCAGCAAAAAAAAAAAGTTAAATAAATTGAAAAAATATTTTAAAAAAACTAATTAATTGAAAGAAAAAAATATTAATTGACCACCTCAGCTCATCCGCCTCCTCATCAAAAATAAATCTTTAGCTCAAGCTGCCACAGCCTCTGCTGCCTGCCGCATAATCTGAGCAGTCCAAATGGCCATCGAATGCCCGCTCAGCGTTGGCTGTGGGGCGAAATCTTATCTTAACTGCAGAAGAATCCTCTTTGGCTGTGGAAGTGCCCTGCCGCAATAATTCAATAAGGCATAAAAAACATTTTAAAGTTTACACAGATTTTTTATTTATTTCCATTCAGACAGAAAACTTGAAGTTTTTTTTTTTTTTTGTTTTGGTTTTATTTATACTTTCTCTTACGCGGCTAATTTACATACATTTAAAACATTTAAATTTGAAATCTGTTGTTGTTGTATTTGTTGTTGTTTAAAATAAGTACTTGTACACAAACATATCAACATTGAATCGCTTTATTACTTACACAATTATATATGTATATAGGTATGTATGTATTTGTATATATATATATATGTATCTAGGCAAAAAAAAATACTATAACTATTAAATATCAATGAATACATATATATATGCATACATATATTTCGATATACATATATGTACATATATATATATATTTAATTCATATTTTATTTTTATATATTTTCCATATTTTCTTTGATCAATTTCGTATTCGTGAAACTTATTGTTTGTCAAATTTAGAAATTCGTTTTTCTTTGAAAATATTTTGACTGTCATTTAAATTCGTGAAACTTTGGGGCTCAAAAGGTTTACGAATTTAAATGAGTTTTGTGCGAAATATTTTCGTTCGTTGGTTTATTTTTTTTTTTTTTTCAGATTAGTGCTTAAACTTTAATTAGATTCTCGTTTTGTTTTTTGGACAACAACTCGCACAAAAATAAACTTTATCCGATGTAAATGATGTAAATGTATACATAGATCAGTTTGTTATCCTCTTTGGTTTCTCCTCCAACTGTTGTGTCAATTAATTCCTGTATTTAATTTTTTGTTGTCTATTTATTATAATTTAACTTAATTTTAAATATTTATTATGTTCTCGATTTTTCAAGAATTTCAAAAGATTTCTGATAAGCTATATGTACATACATGTATGTATATGTTTGTATGTAAGTACATGGCTAAGGTTTGTGTATATATGTATACAAGTAGATCAGTTTTTATTTCGTAAACATTTTTATTTCAATTCACGTTTCATTTCCAGTAGATTGAAATACAAACACTTGCAGTTTTATTCTCTTTTTTAGCATTAAATATTTTTGTTTTTATTTTTATTTTATTACTAATTTGTTTATATTTAAAATTGGTTTTATTTTCTTTATTTTTTAGTTGATTATTTTATTTTTTATTTATTTTTTATACGTCATACATATTCATAAATACGCACGGCAATGGGTTTTTAAATTTTAATTTTATTATTATTATTCATTTTATTTTTTCTTCCTATGTGAACTAGAACAAACATTGAACGTCTATAAGATCTGTACGTGTTGCACTTGAATAGTAGAGCTTTTCTTTTTGTATTAAACTGTGATCAAAGTTGTTTGTGGCATTGGTATTGGTATTTAGTTTAGTTGGTTATCCCATTAGTAGAGTCCACTCCCTTTCACATAGACAGACGATATCTCGCTGCTGCTGCTGCTGCTCGGTTGGCTCCACTCGTACCTAACTAACCAAATGGAACTTTATCGCTTTTATTTGTAATTAGTTGGTTTGAAACCAGAGTATTCGCACTTTTTGTTTATTCTCTCTCTCTTTCTCTCTCTCTCTCTCTTTTTTTTCCAATTGTTCTTAGACAATGCGCTCCTCGGCTATGATTTCCATGTTGCTCGTGCGACGCTGCTGAAAGTGATGATGATGTTGATGTAGATGCTGATGCTGATGCTGATGCTGCGGCGCTTTGCTAAGTGCCTCCGACACGTTCAAGCCGGAGCCATCGGCAGCGGCTGCGGCTGCGACTGCGGCAGAGGCAGCGGCGGCGGAGGCGGAGGCGGAGGCGTTGCACGTACAGACCGCTGCGCTGCGATGCTGATCGCTGCTGCCACGCCGCGGCACCAACATCACCAATTACTAGAGGACAGTCTCGTTGGTGTTGGTGCAGGTGCGTGGGCCATTCACAATGGAGTACTTCGACGAGCTGTCCTTTTTGCCGGCCATGCGGCCCATGAAGATCTCCTTGAAGGTCTCGCGGAACTGGCGCGACATGCCGCAGTAGATGCCAAAGTTGATCGGGTAGCTGAGCACCAGAAAGAAGTTGGTCAGCAGAATGAAGACGTTGGCGATGCCATAGTCGAGGAACTCGATGATCAGCGAGCTGACGATGTGCATGGAGGTGACGACGGCAATGGGTATTTCGGCAATCAGAAAGACAGACACAACCACAATCAGCATCAGGGTGGTGCAGTTGGAGTCTCTCAGCTTTTTGCACTCCTTCTTGCGGTTCTCGCGGAAGAGCAGCTTGCGCCGCTCCTGCGCCTGCCGCAGCGCCGCGAACAGCAATATGTTCAGGGTCACCAAAATGATGCACGGCAGCAGATTGACGAACAGCACCCGGAACAGATAGTAGCTGGTGTAGTACAGATCGACGCCGATGTAGTCGTGCACCCACAGCGATGTCTCCAGGTGGCACACCTCTGTCTCGTTGCCGTTCCACTCGATCTGAACGGGTATATAGGTGCGGTCGAAGAAGCGCGGCAGCTGGTGCAGAAATGCCAGCAGCGCAATGTAGAAGGTGCAACGCTTCACGCGCGGCATCGTGCACCAGGTGCGCGCCATCGGTGCATGGCACACGTAGATGTACCTGAAATGCAATCAATTGTGATGAGCATACATGAGGTTTACTTGGAGGAGCTTAAGCTAGAATGTGGCGTGGCAAGTCGATGATACTCTGCCTACAAGGGAGCATTACTCATTTATTAGAGATAAGCATTGATCTAAAACTGAGGCTGACTCTAGAGCTAAGCACTGGCAATGGGGGTCTGCGCCTTGGGGCTTATATAAAAACTGAATTTCAATGAAAAAAGACTCCAGTAGATATGTAGATCACAGACAGCCTTAAAGGCTGTAATTGTTCAGCTTAAGCAAGATACATTCAAATGTTGTAAAGTATTCGATTTTGCCTGTTCGCTCTTATGAGGGAAGTACGAGGAGAAGTACTTGTATCCGATGCTCCAAGCGCATGCTTGTACTTTGGCTTATTGGCTAATCAAGTAAATAATCTGTAATGGCTATCGGAATTGAATCGAAGTGAATGAAATCATCGTCAGGCTTCAATTATCCATTTCGCGTAATGATCAATGCCTATCGATTATTCCCTGCCATAAATTTAAATAGAGTTGAGTTAACAGACTCTAAAATCTAAATGCGATGCACAGATGCTTCAATTCCTCAGTTCTTAGCCAAATTTCGAGAGACGCTTTCAGAGCTGTGAGCTAGTCGCATGCAAATTTGATACATTACACTCGTAGCAACACACACGCACACTCAGACACGTGCATATATGTATGTATGTATATATTTATGGAGCTTGTGAGTGAAATGGTGTGTGGCGCATGCATCATGTTGGACTTTATCTGACGGCCATTAGAGTGTCTGGCAATGGATTTTATTCATGAAACGTTATCCGAGCTGGGGCATAAAAGCGCCAGGGCTGCCTCTGCACATTTGCCTAATATAATTTGATGGCCCAGCCAACGCCGACGCCCAGGCAGAGGCCGACACAGAGGCCGTGGGACTAACCCAATTTGGTTCGCCTCGGATTTATGATGGCAACGTGTTGACAATGTTCCCACCCGGCCCCCAACAGGGCCAAGCCCATCAATTGACAGCCAATTGACTTGGCAGGTGAGACCGCAGCGGGCAATCAAAGCCAGATCTAAGGCCAAACCTAATCAACTCTTGGCGCTTTATAATTTCATAATTTCGTAATTTCCTAATTTTAATCATTTTAATAATTCGCGTAATTTTCGCAAAGCACTCTCGCTCGCCATGCCAACACTGAGCGCGCATGTTGCCGAGATTAAGAAAACTTTCGTTGGCGACTTTCGGGCAGCTTTTTAGTTTTAGTACTTGAAGGTCGCACCCACCTACCTCCCCCTCTGCTCTATTCCTCAAATAGCCTGAGTCTAAGTTATTGTTGTGAGAGTATGGCTGCGCTAAGCTGCCACAGCTTAAGCTAGACTCTGTCTCTAAATGCTCTGCCTTGCGACTAATTTATGCGCATAATTATGGGCACGCCCACACCCACGCCCACGCCTATGTCCATGCCCACGCAGTGCCCTTTGCCGGTGCCCGTCTCGTTCTGGCTGCCACTTCAAAATGGTTTTCAATCAATCTTGCATTGAACCTTTGTCAAGCGGGGATTTCATTAAAGTTGAAAGCAATCGTAAACAAAGGACGAAACGATTGCGAGGCGTTTAGCCCTAAATGGAATTGATATTAATAATTGAATGAACAGCATTTAGCCACGCCCACTCCACGTGCACTGCGCTTCGTTTGCCACACAAAAGGCTTGGCCCGGGCATTCATCGGCGATGCGGAATAATAAATCAACAGACTAAACGCAATCCATCCAGCCAAATAATTAGTATGAGTAATTAGCATATTCCATTGAAGATGGATGAGCACAAATGTGTTTAAAATGCGCCACGATAAACTAACACAGGACAGAGTCTCGCTCACAAAACGCTTGACAGCCGGAGTAATTACTCAACTGATTTCCGCCTGCCCACGTTCAATGCGGCCCAACTGCGAGAGCTCAATGGGTACTTCGGGGCACTCAAAGCTGTGCTCATTTGATTGAAGCTTGAATTCGTTTCGTGATTTAGTCAACAACTCAGCTGAAATGGCTGTGAATGATGGCTTGGCACGCTCAACACCCAGCAGCCCATAAGCCTTCCACTCTATTGAGTTGCTCGCGTTTTTATGACCCCACAGCCAACATTGTTTCCAACTTGACTATAAAATAATGCTGCTGCCCTTATTTTGACGAGATAAACACACTATTGAGGAACTTTCATCCTAGATGCACTTTTTTAATGCAAAATTCAGTAGAGTCTAGTATATATGCATATATGTATGTATATAGTATGAAATGTCTATCTATCTATCTAAGCTATTTTCATTGAAGTGCTGTATCATAGCGTTTGTGTTCTTCTAGTTGATATAGAGAATGAGTACTTGAATATGCTTGAGTATATTCATATTAGGATAGATATGGCCTTCAAATCCTTTTTATTTGAGGGATTTAGGCAATGAAAATTCATTTTTATTAAACTCTACTCGCATCATAAGTCTTTAGCTAAGTTTTTAGAGCCATTAGCTAAATCTGAAACTGACTATTATTGCTTTCTACTGCTAATACTACTATTTCTACTACTATTTACTACACAAACTACTACTAATTTTTTTTTTTATATTTTTGATTGCCTATATCTATAATTTATTACTACAACTAGTACTGCTTCCACTAATAAATATTAAATATTTTTTACTACTATTTACCATTTCCATTTCTACTACTATTTCTATATTATTTCAACTATTTATTACTTCCATTTCGACTACTATTTCAATATTACTTACTACTATTTACCACTAAGATTCCTACTACTTTTTCAATATTATTTACTTCTATTTACCAACATCATTTTTACTACTACTTCTATATTATTTACTACTGCAACTAATACTACGTCTACTACGATTTACTAACTAATCTACTAATTATTAGTACTAAAGTCGATTCTAATTCTATCAATATATTCTACTACCCTAACTAATGTTTACTACTGCAACTACTACTACTTCTACAAATATTTCTGTATTATTTACTACCACCACTTGTCTTACTATATCTTTACCCTAGGCAACTGACTGCAACTACTGCTACATTAATAATTACTTACTACTACTTTACCTACTATTTACTGCTGCAACTACTACTTTTTCTACTACCATTGGTACTACTATTACTAGACTACATACTTCTACTACTATATATACGACTAATAATATGTATACTACTGCGCTATATAATACTAAATCATTATTTTTATGTACGTCTAATAGCATTAATAAGGCTACTACTATTTCTTCTACTGCTATTACTGTATACATTTTCCTTTATATGGCTAAAGCTGTCATATTAAATTTGCTGTTAATCAATTTATCTTAGCTCACATACTTCATACACACTTAAGGATACACACACACACACACACACACACACACACACACACACTTAGCTGGTTGTCAGAGCGTTCAGTTTGTTGTCTGACTCTTAGTTCTTTCAGTTGGCACAAGAAAATCAACTCAAATACCAAAAAGTTGACAGCAACCCAGCTGGACAACAATAATGGCAACAACAACAACAACAACAACAACAACAACAACATTAGCAGCACCTACAATAACAACAATAATAACAGCAATAATAACAATAAACGTTGACTGTTTTATCGCGCTATTTGTCCTCGGGCAATTTTCAACGCATTTTACAAAATGTGAGCTGAGGGATGTCAGCTGAATGTGTCCCCAGCTAGCATAGCGAATTATTTAGCTATTTGCTGCACACACACATAGATGCTCACACACACACACATGCACACTCACACCGCCAGAAACAGCGACCACTTGAAGCGGTCCACATCGCATAATGGCACAAATATTTATGACTATTTTTATATTGTAGAACATTTTCTTTTCTTTCTGCTGTTGTTTTTCTATTTATTTATTTTATTTTTTTTTTTCTGCTGCTGCTCAAAGTCCGTTTTTTTGTGTGGCTCCAAAATTTTCTGTGTGTTTTTTTTTCTTTGTTATTTATTTACAGGCTGTAAAATTTATGATCCCACACATGAGTTAATAGAACAATGCGCCAGCCCTCAAGTGGCCCTTGCGCCGCGCTCGAGAGTTTTTAGATGTGAATCCGAATGGTTTTATACACAATTCACAGAGGTGCCTGGAACGGGGGCGTGGTGGGTTGGGGCACACACTCACGATTTATGTTGCCAATTTAATACATATTAGTTTATTGTTTTTCATTTTGTTTTTCGTTTTTTGTTTTTCATATACATAGAGACAATATGCATATAAAACATTCACAGCATTGACTGACCCTCGCTCACGAGCTGAGTTTATTTATGGCTTTGCATCCAAAACAATTTGAAGAGCCTAAGCCCAGTTGACACTTGGCTCGGAGCAGCCAAAATATAAAGAACTGTTTCTTGATTGCATTATGCGACAGTCAGATGTCATAAATTTGCAAAATTGAATTATAGACTTCACATTTTAGTCGGAGCACATTTGCCGTTGTTTGTTGCTAGCCAGAAGCTAAATGGAATGTGGCCTATGCACGTTGGCCAACAGTTTATAGAATGCAAATCAGAGGCAATTAACTTCTGGCAAAACAATATTTACACATTTTTAATGGGGACGCAAAAATATGTTGCGCTGTATTAAATTCCATTTAGTTTTGCGCTCTGCTTTGGTTGAACATATTCATTGAAAAATATTTCAGTTTTGTGAAAAACTTCGGTGACTAAAAATTGTATGACATTAAAATAAAAAGGAAAAGTAGAGAAAGTGGTATAAATAAAATAAGATGAAGCGAAAGCAGAAATTCAAAGCGGGCAATTTATTTTTGTTGAATTAAATTGATTAATTAAATAAAATGATTTATTTAAACAAATAAGAAAGTTTAAGAAATATATAAAAAGTATTTGTAAAATCGATTTTTTAGTTACAATTTATATCTATATATTATTTATAATTAGAAAATCTTTGTGTAATGAATTTCAAAATATTTCAGAAACAATTGTATTGTATTGTATTGCAAAAAAATTAAGTAAATAAATAAAATAAAGTTAATAAAATAAAATAAATAAATAATTAAATAAATTACAAATAAATAAATAAAATAAAATTAATAAAATAAAATAAGCAAATAATAAAATAAATTACAAAAAATAAATAAAATAAAGTAAAAAAAATAAAATAAAATAAATAAATAATAAAATAAATTTCAAATAAATAAATAAAATAAAGTTAATAAATGAAAATAAATAAATAATAAAATAAATTACAAATAAATACACAAAATAAAGTTAATAAAATAAAATATATAAATAATAAAATATATTACAAATAAATAAATAAAAAAAGTTAATAAAATAAAATAAGTAAATAATAAAATAAATTACAAATCAATTAAGAAAATAAAGTTAATAAAATAAAATAAATAAATAATAAAATAATTTACAAATAAATAAATAACAAATAAAAGTAAAATAATAAAATAAAATACAGTCAGTGAAAAAGGCCTTGCTATTTTAAATTATTGGGATACTACTGTATTTTTAAAAAAAAATCCCTGCCTAATATTCTATCGCTTTATTATGTTTAAATCATTTAAGCTGATGAGCAAAAAAGTAGGCACAAAGGCAGGTTAAAAGAGATTTGTAAAACAAATGCGATTGATTGACAGACAAGCATCCACACCCACACACACGCAGGGGAGTATATGTCATGTTTATAGCCATTGGCAGAGACAACACGCACATTACTCATACGACGCGTTAACTGGACGAAAGACGGCTCTAGCGACTCTGGCCGGATTTTCTTATATTTTGTTCGTTCATTTTTTGTTGTCTCGCGCATAATTTGTATGGCAAAGACAGCGCTGAGTGTATTGGCAACACGACAGCCAACGTGACCGACTGAGCACAGCTGATTTATTATCCCCTTGACAACTCAAGAGCTCTCACAGCCAGTCCGTCCGTCCGTCCGTCCGTCCGTCAGTCCGTCCGTTCGTCAGTCAGTCAGTGAGCCAGAGAAAGTCAGTTGCTGGATGGCCTGCGGCAGCAGAGTATGAGCCTGAGCATGGCCGACGACAGTTGATGAGCGAGTGATATTCAAACATGTGTGAGTGAAGGAAAGAAAGTCAAAGTAAAAGTATTTATTACATATTTACCTTTGCACGGCCAGGGCCAGAGTCAGCCAGACGGAGATGGTGTGGCACATGGCGGGCATGATCTGTAAATAAAGATAAGAGAATAAAGCTTTAAGAACTGGCAGCAATTGGGCTGAATACATAAAGCTGGTCAAAGCGGGAGTACGCACCATTCAATTGCAAAAAGTGTCACATTTAAAAACTCTCTCTTTGATCAGAAACAGTATAAAAATGTTTGAAAGCTGGCAACGCCATACAATTATGCGTGTCTTTTTTATTAAATACTGCAATTATGTCAATCAATGTGTTTTTTCGACCACTAACCAAATATTTATTTTATTTTGACTTATGGCTGACGTTAATAAGTAAGTTATAGATTATATTTTATCGCGCTAGCTTTCAGGGCTACAAAAATAGTATAAAAATGTTTGAAAGCTGGCAGCGCCATGCAATTATGCGTGTCATTTTTATTAAATACTGCAATTATGTCAATCAATGTGTTTGTTCGACCACTAACCAAATATTTATTTTATTTCGACTTATGGCTGACGTTAATAAGCAAGTTATAGAAGATATTTTATCGCGCTTGCTTTCAGGGCTACAAAAATAGTATAAAAATGTTTGAAAGCTGGCAGCGCCATGCAATTATGCGTGTCATTTTTATTAAATACTGCAATTATGTCAATCAATGTGTTTGTTCGACCACTAACCAAATATTTATTTTATTTCGACTTATGGCTGACGTTAATAAGTAAGTTATAGAAGATATTTTATCGCGCTAGCTTTCAGGGCTACAAAAAATACTGTGTGGAGTAACAAAACAACCAAAAATGAGTACACAAAATACTTCAGTATTTTAACAACTGCGTAAGATGGTCACATAGCTTACAGCTGTCAAAATTGGAATTTTTGCTAGTCATCTAGTAGGCTTTTCGAGGCAGGCTTGTCGAAAAAGGTTAAATTGCTTCCAAAAATTTCTAGAGCTTCATTCAGTTGATTCTGAGCGTCGAGACTAGTCAATTTGTGAATTAAAAATTAAATTTTTCTGAATTCGTAAAAATGGCCGAAAAACCAGCAGCTCTAACGGTGATTGACAATGTGTCATGGCGTGTGAAGCGTTTATATAGCGACTTATCAAATGCATCAGATGCCAAGAAGGAAACATTTAATGAGAAAATTAATTTACTGGTAACGAAAATCGATCGGATGGAGAACAAGCTGGGTATAAAAGTAGTCACGAAGGACAGACGTAGCAGTATGGCTACGGACATTTGGCTGCTAACGCTGGATGATGAACTGGCTGAACACCGTAAGCAACTATCCAAGCGCATTGCAGAGGTCGAAAATCTGCTTGGTCAGCAGGACGCGCTTCTTGATGTGCTCGGTGAGAAGCCTCGCAATTTAAGTAAAATGGCCAAGCCGGATGATATCGGGGCATTTCGCAACCATGTGCAGGATCTGCAGGAATTGCGCGAGGCCCGCTTGGATGAGGCATTCGATCTGCGGTATTCAATCCTGACCGAGATGAAAGTGCGGGGCATAGAACCTGACACATCCGAAGAGCGTCAATTGCTTAAGCCAACAGATCAGCGGCTGACAGCCGAAATCATGGAGACGCTTAGATTTAAGGTAATGGACGTTACCGACAAAGTTGAAGGATTAGATAATGACATGGAATTTTTGCGCAAAGGGATTTCTGCCAACGCCAACGAAATGCAGACTATGTACGCATTTATCGATCGCAGAGCTAAGAAATTAGACGCGTCCGAACATTCGTACGAGGTGTTGGCGAAGCAATTGAGATGCTGCGAGTCTTTGTATGCGATGACTTGGAAAATCTTGACCGAGGAACTATGCAAAGAAGTCCATAAGTATTGGAAACTAACTAAAAGTCAAATGGATGCCAAACATGATTTCGTGCTCAGCATTAATGAAGGCCCTTGGAAGACACTGGAAAAGCTGGAAAACGAGGTGGATACGCTGAAGAAGTTTTACGAGACCAATAAGAGACTCTATGACCTATATGACTGCCGTACAGAGTTCTGGCAACGCTTGGTGGCCCTTGAAAACAAGGCCAGCGATTCGGATCAAGATTATCACAGAAAGAGTCCCAGGGAGGATCTCGAATTGACTACTATTAACAAGACGCTGCTAAACCTTGACGGGGAGATAAAAAAATTAGCTAACGAGTTTTTGGAGAAACATAATCGTCCGTTTGAGATATATGGGCAAGATATATTGAAAGTTATTGCCGACCCGAAACTAACTGATGAGAATTTATCCTTGGGCTCGGCATCAGCTGTTACTGCATACGAAACACTTCCCGCTTTAACCCATATACTTGCGGTCTTAAACTCAGCCAATTTGTATAAGCCTCCATCCTCTATGACAAAGAGAAAGGCGACTGGGAAGGGCGAAGAAAGCTCCCAAGATCTAACAGGACTTGAAAATTCAGAGGCATCAGGCGATCAACCAAAGCGCAAGAAGGAAAAAAAAGACAAGAAGAAGAAGAAACACCACAAATCCGAGCGCAAACACAAACATACGAATATTGATAAAGATAATGATGATGAGCCTCCGGCAAACAGACCTTTGATTGCGATTTAATCACATTTTTAATGAGCTAAACAAAAAAAAAAAAAAAAAAAAAAAAAAAAAAAAAAAAAAACCAGTATTTGTAACACATAAAACATATGCATGTTTAACCCACATAAACCACTAACAACACATATAGAACAACAGACAGAACAACAACAAATGAAACGTTATTTGTAACGCCAATTTGTATAAGCCTCCATCCCCTATGAGAAAGAGAAAGCCGACTGGGAAGGACGAAGATCAATTTGCACCGGGAGGAGAAAGCTCGCAAGATCTAACAGAACTTGAAAATTCAGAGGCATCAGGCGATCAACCAAAACGTAAAAAGCACAAGAAAAAGAAGAAGATACACGATAAATGCAAGCGCAAACACAAACATACGCATATTGATGAAGATATGCTAAAAAAAAAAAAAAAAAAAAAACAGTATTTGTAACACATAAAACATATGCATGTTTGACCCACATTAACCACTAACAACACATATAGAACAACAGACAGAACAACAACAAAAGAAACGTTATTTGTAACGCACAAAGCATATGTAAAGCCCACATAAATGAAGTACAGCCCATAGAAGACATAAAACACAAGCCTACTCATAGCACCCATCAAACATATAAAGCACATAAATTCTGTAAAACACATAAAATAAACACAAATAAAACACAAATCACATTCATTGTTGCATTTACTTGGTAGTACAGGGTCTAAATGTTCTAAGATGTGCTAAATTTTGTGCAATGTCCGCAACGTACGATATTTGAACGATGGTATTTTTGTGCGAATTGCCTTCTATACGAAAGCTATCGAAGTGCAATCGATATTTTAGTTTGCAATTGGAAACTCAGCTCGATTGTTTCGCGCTATTTCGCGCATTTGCATTTCTTGTGGATTTGTTGTGTGAATTTGCTAACTCAGTATTACTAGTTAAATTGTGTTAGTTCAGGAAATGAATACTGGGTGCCGCCCAAGGGTGGCTCGCTCATGGGTGGAGGTAATCGGGATACTATTTAAAACACGATGTGTATGTAAAATTGGCGCGTAAAAAGCGTGTGTAATTCAATTCTTCTTGTCTTAGAGAAGTGAATGCACTCGATAACAACTATCGATAAAGACTACTGTTAAAGACTATATTATTTTTCATTTTTTATTATTATTATTATTTTCTTTTTGTATTCCTTTATGGACCTTACATGAAATATTTTATCGGATTTTCTTTTTTAAATCGAAGCTCAGACTTCATTGCCATTTATATTATACCATAAGTGAATAATCAAATATCAATTGATTTGTATTCACTCTCAATATTAATATTCAAGTGCAGTATACATATATGTATATATTCCACCTGCATATCTAAGAGTCCTTGAGCCACAATGAGAATGCCAGAGCAGCAATTTTCATAGCAATATATATTCAAGCATTAAGCATTGGCAAATCCTGTTGAATATTTCAGGCACTCACTGTTATTGATAACTGAAACAATAGCTGATATATGTAGTTATGTGAAATAGTATCAATGCTTCTATCTGTTCAGGCCATATCTCTACTTTTATTCTATTTGACTATGAGTTGAGTTTTAAATCGTGTTAATTAAATTGCATCAAATTCTGTGCGCGAGCATTTGAAATGCTCTTAAAGCAGCAGAGCATTATCTTCGGTCTCTTTCTCTCTGTCTCTCTGTCTGTCGGTCTGTCGGCATTAAGTGCTGGCAGCGAAAAGCTGCTGTTAGTCAATGCATGTTGCAGCTTACATGTTGTTCAACACGCACATAACTGAGTGCATTCAGTGCAGCACACTGTGGCCTAATCCGATTTATGTGGATTTAGCCAACAACTCGGCGAGAGATAAACAGAGGCGCAGCTGCAATTACAGCTGCCAGCGAGTCTAGTATCAGATGTTGCTGTTGCTGTTTTTGAGAGCTTGTTAAAGAGACGAAGCAGCAGCACTCGGCTGGCACATTAACATGACCATTAAAACGCGCCGTCCGTGCCTTTTTCGAGGGGCACATAAATTGCGAGGGAAATGTAACGAAGATGTCTTCAACTTTAGTTGCAATGGTCGCCTGGCGGTTATTACAGCCTTTGTGTATGTGAGCTGAATTTTATGGCCGTCATACGCAGATAGCCGGCTCCGACATGGCCGGAGACACACGGCCACTCCAAGTCGACGCCGCCAACTACTCAAGTCAACCCCAACAGCCCAAGCCCCAAAACGTCTCCCTCACACGCTCATACCCATGCCGTTTGGCTGGGAATTTTCGGCTGCTACAAATCCCCTGGGAGTCAAGTCACAGCACGTAGCAGCCAGGAGCAGCAACAGCAGCAGCAACAGCAATGGCGACAACAATGGGACACATCTTATCAGCTCGACACTACTCCATTGAAATGAGTAAACAGTTTTGCTTTATGCCGCCATCTTTCAGCATCTCGGGGCCCAACCCCTTTGGCCGGCGACACACCTTCATCAGCTGCTGCTGCTGCTCTAAACGAGCGCCATAAATTGAAAATGTTGATTAATCAAGGCAAACGTGCGACAACGGCAACTTCGCGGGCGAAAAAAAAAGAGAGAGAAATGAAATGAGGGAAAGTGTGAGCACAGAGAGTGCAGACGAGGGAATGAATGAGTGAATGAATGAATACGTTGAATGAGCGGGTGACTGGCTGGGTGGGTGGCTGAGTGGGTGGTTGGCTGACTGGCTTGGTTAGTTTGTTTGGTAGTCTGCCCACTCGCTTTTGACACTTTACTTAGTTTGCGGCAGTTGGCAGCTTGCATAAAAACTTCTGGCTCTATCAACTTTTGGTCTTTCATTATGCTGACAGAAATGACACGAACGAACAAACACACACACACAGTGAGAGAAACAAACATAAACAAAGTGCAAACGTAACGTAGCAGCAAATGCGATAACGATAACGATAACGATACAACCAAGGGTGGGCAGGCTACAATAACGGCATTCGCAGCACTGTGAATGCCTACGCGTCATACATCAGCAACATCTACAGCAACGGCAGCAGCAGCAGCAGCAGCAGCAGCAGAGACAAAGGACGCCAACTTGCAGTCAAGCATTTTATTTAGGTCAATGAGCGTCTATATGATGAGCCCCCTCTCATTGCCCCGCCGCTGCCCCCTCCACTGTCAGCCAACCTGCCATCCTGCCGAGGGGTCACCTTTCGCTGCCGCCCTAAACAAACCCCATGCGCGCTCTACTCCAAAAGTAACCCTCTTGAACTTGCCCAAGCAATTAAAAGATGCTGCTCTTCTTCTTCTTCATCATCTTCTTCGAGCTCTTCTTCTTCTTCATCATCTTCACCTTCTTCTTCAGTTTCATCTTCATCTTTTTCTAGTTCCATGGTAAACAACACGAAACTGAGCCGCGTGCCCATTCCGTGTTGTCGTTGAGGTTTTTGTTTTTATGTTTTTTTCTTTTTTTTCTATTTTTCTATTTTTTTTTTATGTTTTTCTTTTTGTTTTGTTTGGTTTTTTGTTTACCTCATTGAAAATGCTGTAGACCAGACACATGGAGGCCGGATGCATGGGCTTGTAATGATTGCCAAATGTGTACATATACCAGAGGCCAGGAGCGGGGAATGCCACCGTCAGCAGATCGCAAATGGCCATGCCTGCAAAAGAAAGAGCGAGAGAGAGAGGGAGTGAGAGTGAGAGCAAACAACAGTGTGACAAATTGGATTAGAGTGTGGATAAATGAACAATGAGCTGCCCATAGTTTGGCTTAAAAACACGTTTGGCCTTTGCTAATTTGACCCCTTGGCCAGGGCTCGATTTAAGCCATTTACTGTCCGCTTTCTGCTTAAGTTAACTAATTCAGTTTTGATGTTGGCCAACGGGCAGCTCTGTTTTGCGAATAATCAGATACTTAATTAGGTAAAGGAGCAGAGCCCCATTAATAATGGACCATAGACCTCTGTTTATTGATATCATAAGCTATGAACTTTTCGATACTAGCTTGATACGATACTGTGAGAGGAGTATATTGGCTTTAAAGTATGCATATTGGCTTCATGATATGTTTGCCCTGCTTCATCAGCTTACTTATCTTAAGGCTAGACACTTGAAATTTCAATTATATTATTGTTTATCTAAGCTCAGGCTTGTATGTATTACAGCATATACATATGCACATATGTATATGTGGGGGCATGACAACTTAAGTGGGGCTATGCTGCATCTGCCACAGCTTACGAGCTTAACTCGAGTACGTTATTGTTCAAGAAACTCCTATATTGAATAGAACTGCAGCTTGCAGCTTACAGCTGCCTCCTCCTCCTCCTCCCCTCTTATGTTTGGCAAACTCAAAGTGATTTTATTGCAGTTGACGAGGAGAGCCGGAGGAGCAGCATGCGCTTACACGCAACCTCTTTCCCTCTTACACTCATTTCTATATGCAATGCGGTAATTGAATTGGCTTAATAGTTAGCTTAGACTTTCATTGATTAGCTGAAATTGGAAAATTTATATAGCTCCTTCATTCAAGCTGCAAAGTTTTAAAGCTCAAGCCTTTTACATTTCCTCGATTTACATTCCTTGCTCCCTCTAATATTTAATTAAATACTTACATATTTTTTTAATGCTAGAGTTCTTTCATTAACTCAAGCTGACCAACTTTCATCTTTCATATTTTTTTTCCGTTTACTTTTCTTCAACTTTTAACTTTAACATTTTATCTCAGATGTTTCTCTCTCTCTGTCTCTAATTTCTAAGCACTTGTTCTACAATTTAGAGCCTTGCTGGCCGTCTATCCTCATGAAACACTTAAATGGCAAACTTATCGCACAGCTGAATTGACCGCAAAACAAGTTTTTAATGTCATGTTGTGACAGTTACAGGAACCAAAAAAAAAAAAAAAAAAAAAAAAAAAAAAAAAAGAAAACAAAAAAAAAGTTAGTTCTGCAACTAAAAAGCTGCTGGCAAGGCAAGGCAAGGCAAACGTGATGCGATAAACAAAGAGTCGCATTACTGAATAATAGAATAAAAGATTCGCCTTTGCATTTTCTTGGCAAGGTTGCCCAAAAGTGCTCGACGACTGCCTTCATGCTAGGTTATTCCATGCATACATAGTTACACCAATTTGTTGAGAGTTGAAATAGTTTTCTATAAGCTGCTTGAGAAGTAGTTTATGAAAGAATCTTATTATATAGCAAGTGAAACTCTTTATTTTTGTCGTGAAACTTTCATACGCAAATTTTTATATATTTTAAGTATGCTGAGTGCTGATTTATTTTGATTCAACAACGAGTTCGCTCTGTTTTCAGCTCTTCACATTATGCATTGTCAAGTCATTTGGGAAGAATCTAATTTGCCATGAAGCCATTTTATGCAGTAAAATTATGAAGTAACTTGTAAGAGTGACATTTGGAGCGTTCATTTGTAAGAGCGGAAACGTTGATATACTCTCCCTGCCGTCATTCTCCCCCATTGTATGCTCACTGCAGCTGAGTTGAGTCGAGCGATAAGACCACTGTGAAATTGAATGAGCGAGAACTCATGCTGCTATAAATACCTTCTGCGGTCTGATTGCCACTCTAACAGCTGGGCTAGGTAGGGGACTTGGTATTGTTCTGCCCGTAACAGTACTCAGAGAGGACTGAGACGCCTTTACACTCAAAACATGGTCAAATATATAAATAATTTAGGCAAATAAGAATATTTCAAATATAGTATTTAAAATTAATTATTGAAGAAAAGAAAAAGAAATAAAAAAAAATAAAAAAATAAAATTAATGATTAAATTTCAAATATAAAATAAATAAATAAAAGTATTTCATTAATACATTAATTTAAATAAAAGCAAACATGCCATCTTTTGGCATTAATTAAATCTATTTATAAGCTAATTAAATTCAATAAATAAAATTACTAAAATAAAAGTAAAATAAATTAATTTAAAAAATAATTCATCTTAGATTTATATAAAAAATTAAGTATTTAAATAAAAAATTAAAATTACAAAAAAAAATAAAATAAAATAAAATGAATGCAAATATTTGAAATACATATATAATTTAAAATAAATAAAAATAACAAAAAAATATATAAATAATAAATTTTTAATTAAAACTATATAAAATAATATTTCAAATAAAATAAAGTAAGTTAATAAATTAAACTGTTTCAAATTTATAAAAAATTTAAATAAATAAAAATATGCAATATTTTATCATAAATATAATATTATATGCACATTTACTAAAATCTGCAGACTGTTGTTGAATCAAATACTTTGCTGTCTATGCAAGTCAAACGGCAAGCACTGCCGTGGCTAAATAGTGAAATCTTTAATTCAATAAGAAAATTGTCGGCTAACAGTGTTTTAAAGGAGTAAATTAAATAAATAGGTACTTTAATTGGTTGCAGCCACCCTTCAGCACGAGCAGCAGCACCAGCAGCAGCAGCATCAGTCGCCGCGCTGGGCTAATCAACTTTGTGTTTTATTTGTATTACATTCTACTTGGCTGCTGCATTAAAGTTCAAGTTCATCATACGCCCCGTGTGACGGGAACGTTAACGACAAAGTCGCACGCTTGCCACTTCAACTGCTCACGAACGGCGTGAGTGACGGACTGACGGCGTGACTGACGGACATTGTCTGTCGACTCTCTCATGCAATGGCGACCTTTGCTCCACGGGGGGTTTCATGTTCAGCTCTGCAGCTAGCTTAAGTCAAAGTTCATTTCATGTTTGGACTGCTGTCATTTATTGTCGCTTAGCTCGCCTCCTGCTTGTCACCATTGCTGGCAGCCAAATGCGATTAGCCGCGTCCTGCTCTGGACAAAATCCCGGCCCCTCCCCCCTCCCCAACGCGCATTCAATGCGATTAACCCATTGACAAGCAGCGAGGGATGGCATGCCACAGTTGTCACTTGGCTGTTGTCAGTTGTTGGTTGTTTGGCGTTGGTTGTTGTTATTGTTGTTGTAGTTGTTGTTGTTTTTTTTGGTTGTTTTGCTATGAAATGCGGGCATGAACGAATATCAAAAGGCAAATGACACGGCTTATGAGCGTCTGTTTGTGGCTTACATTGTCTTATGCTCAACAGCTAACAAATTTCATCTCTTTTTCATTTCGCGTACAGTTCTGGGCGCTTACGTAATCTGCGGCTACAAATTGCATTGCATACAGTTCAGTGCCGGAAATTGAATTACCTCGCCAGTGATATCTCACACACACACACACACACCAGCACACACACCAGCACACACACCAGCACACACACCAACACACTCAGTCAGGTCTTTAACCCCACTGGCACCCGTTTCGCTGGCCAAGTCAGCGACTTTTCATAAATCAGTGGCAAGTGCCACATAGCAGAAAGCTCCCCGATTGCCAGCCAGTCAGCCAGGCAGCCAGCCGCCTAGTCAGTCAGCCATTAGCATTACACACGCTATTAGAATATCTCAGCATTACTTGAAGTTGCGGCACGCGGAATGCGTGCCACAGACAGCCGGCTGGCTGGGGTATGGGGCGGCACGGACCCAAATGTGGCACGCACATTGCCAGCTATTTTGAAATCTCGCAAAACTTCTGCCTGATTTAACATTGTGACGCATTAAATGGATCCGCGCGTGTGCTGGGACAGCGATGAGGGGCCCCGGCACTCCACACAGATGAAATGACATGGAATAAAAAATAAGTAATAATCATAAATATGTTTAAGAGGCCGAGCGGGTCGAGAGGGCTGACTGGCTGGCTGCCTGGCTGGCTGGCTGCTTGTCTCACTGGAACGAGCTTGAAGCGATTACACTGGCGCAGGCCTTGTCCTTGAAGGACAATAGCAAGCAAATCCTTTGCAATCACAGTATCGATTTATCGATCAGTGTGCGTTAAATGCTTTTTAAGACTCTGTCAAGCCTCGTCGTGCGTGGTGACTAACAATGTATTAAAATTGAGTCAAATCAAATAGTAGAGCCATATGATTAGCTCGTGGCTGCTGGCCCATCACAGGGCTGGATAATGTGGTCTGGCTTGGCATGAAAGCCGGGCAGTCCAAGAGGATTCCATCCAATTATGGCTGGAGACATTTCAAGTCACTCGAGTTTAATATGTTTGTACTTTGTGGGAAACAATGATCTGACACTCGTCCTGTTCCGGCACACGGTTCTGTGTAAAGCTCCATTCGTATTTGGGTCCCAGCACCCAGTGCTACTTCCTTTACTTTATGTCAGGGTGGAAACACATTCCAAGAGCATCCGATTGAGACATAACAGAAAAGAGTTTCCTCTCAGATATATCAGCGGATGACTACGTGACTGAAGCCACTGAGAACTGAAACGATTTCTATTTACTTAAGCTGTTTTGCATGCTCTAGATTAAATATGTTTTTTGTTGTTGTTTTCTTTGCTATTTTAAAGTATCTTAAATATTTTTAAGATAAAAAATCCTATTTGAAATTTTGTTCTGTGCTAACAAGCTCTTTCCAGTTTGTTTGCCTGTAAATTATGCCTGTTTCCCAGTCTGGCTTTACCTGCAGTTCCCCTCCTCACTTTAAATGATTCACCATTAGCACGCCTTATTAATTTATGTGCGCTCTTGATGGCATGTACTCCATATACTGCCTCATTAAAACGTCTTGGCAATATTTCTGAGTACTCTGCCTTTAAATACGACTAAGGCAGATGCTTTCTATGCGATTCTCATGAATTTTTACATAGGTACAAATATTGCATGTATATCGTAAAGTTCAACTTTAATAATCTTGAGCAGTTACAAAGCCTATTTCAGGTTTGTTAACGGTTCGCCGTCGTAAATGCGGTTTCCCAGTATTCCTCATCTATGCGATTCTCTTTGAAATCGATGTACAGATGAAAGTCCCTATTTTATAAGCTTCAGTAGCAGCAACATTTAAAAAATATTTGATGGGGCGTTGCCAACAAAGCGTTCCCTCCTTTCTACGTGATTCTCACGAATTTTAATAAGCTTAAGAATATTGGAAATTCAACTGAGTTCACACTATCACTATGAATAACTCTTCTATGACATTCTCTTACTTATCAGCCCTACTTTCTATGCGATTCTCATTAGGATGATGAGCACTTAATGCATTTTCTATTAGCTTCAACTGAGCTCATACTTTAATTATGCTTCTTGCATACTATTGTCGCTCTATCTTCTACTCTATGGCTAGAAATGAACCCATCCCTCTTCACTTTTTATCTTACTTTCTTCAATGTCTTCCATTAATAATTCTATCTCTATTTGTTACTTTCCAATTCCTCGTTCTCAGCTGAGACTTGGCAACCTGTTTGAATGCCTCTTTGAACTCTAAACACCAATTACGCTCGCTCATATCAAATGGCACACACTAGCCAAAAAAAGGAAAACTTAACTGAAGTTGGCAAAATTCTCGATTTTTGCCGCACTGTAATCAATAATCGAATATCGTGTTTACTTATGAGCGATGATGATGGCTTCTGAATTGCTCAGCGTTGCGTGGCACTTACCCATTAGCACAAAGTTGGTGGGCGTGGCCATGCTCTTCTTGCTGAGCACGAGCACAATCAGCGAATTGGATATGATGGTCAGGAAGAGCAGGAAGGGCATGCAGTAGCCATAGAGCGGCAGGGCATAGTCCAATGGCGAATCGCAGGTGAGATTCCAGTAGGTTATATTACTGTCCATTTGACGGCACTCGGTGCTCGCCAGATGCTGCTGATAGGAGGCATAGTCCAGACTGTCGTTCATGCTGGTCGCATAGTCCACCAGCAGAAAGTGCGTCTCATTCAGGCTGCCCGAGCCAACACGTTCGGTGCCAACTGCCGCTGCCGCTGCTGCTGCAGATGTGTCCTGGGCGATGGCACGTGCACCGCTGGCCGATGCGCTCCACTGATAGAGCACGTCCGTGGCGGATATATCGTAGGAGTAGACGGTATTGTTATCCATGCTGGATGCCATGGCGACAGCTCTTTAGCTATTCGATTGCCGCCGTTGCTGAGCTTGCCTCTAGTTCAATTAGCAGACCTCGATCACTGCTTCTGGCCACGCATTATGGGCCATCATATCGAGTGCTATATCCAACTTATGTCACTCGCACGAGGCAGAGTCATTCACTTGTTGTTGTTGCATTCATCGAATTTGGCAAAAGATGCTTTTATCTTTCTTTTATTTTATTTTATTTTATATTTTTGTGAGCTGCGCGTTGTTGCTTCCTTTTGTTCGTCTGCAAAGAAAGAAATCAATTTCAGTTGAAAATACTTTTCACAAATAAAACTCGATGTCGAAAGTTTTACATGTACGCATGTCTTTGGATTTGTTTGTATTTGCCGTTGCTCCCTTCTTCTTCTGCCTCAACATCAACTACTGCTGATTTAATGACCCTTTCAAGACAAAACTTTTCCCATAACCATGCCATATTGAGCGCAGTAGCTTCAAATCTGCGCCCAGCCCAATCGAGTTGATCAAACTAAACGAACAAATTCCGCCCACTTTAATTGTTCGCTTTGTTGTGAATGTCGCTTATAAGTATATTTATCATTCAAATTATGATTCATGTGGTTGAGGAAACACAGTTTCGTCACAGTAGATTAAATGTGTGGAGTAGAGCCGGCTCCGGGCTATAGCTGGGGATTCTGCCTCACACATAACGCAATGATATCTAAGGACATGTTTGGGATATATCGCTTATGACGGGCTTTAGGAAAATGAAAGCTCTGTACGAAATAATTGACCAAATCGTATAGAAAATTATAGAATAGAAAAGATCTCAAGTATGTGGAAGAGAGACAGCAGCAACTAAAGAGTCGCAGTCAGCCTAAGACTCCACTGGAGTATATATAGCGAGGGGCTATCTCTCACTACACTCCATTTATAAGTACGATGTGATTAGTGATTAGTGAGTGTGTGCAACTGTGTAGATTAGATGGAGCAGACTGCACCGACTATCAGCCTAACTAATGCGAGCAGAGCTGCTACCCATCCCGAAGTCCAGAAATTATACCTACACTCAACAGGCTGTTCACTCGTGATCAAAGCCTTGAAAGACTCACTTTTACACAATGAAAACTAGAAATCTCTGTTCGCTATTGCAGTCAATTAGGAGTCAATAAGCAGGATTATCCTGGCTGTTGTCAAGGCAAGTTTGCTAACTAGCTCCTATCCAGCTCTACGCCATTCAAGTGCTTGGTGTGATCGCCAAGATGCACTTGAATAGACCACGTGTACTTCAAGCGAAAATGAGGATCCTTGGTACATGAGAGCTAAGGATATAGATAGAGAGCTAAAGATTCCTAAACTTCAAGGCAAAATTCAGGAGATGGTCACAAACTACTCAAGGAGATTAAATTTGCATTCAAATTACATGGCTCTGTAGCCCAATATCCTCTCAGACTCCCCATCTCTACGTGCAGAAGTCTCAAAACCTCAACACCTGCTAGATCATGTCTGGGTTTTGACCTCAACATCGTCCTCATTTCTTAAGTCTCACCCATGCATTCACACTCTAAATAACTTCTTATCTCTGTTATGTCTCTTTTGTTTAGAATTAAACAAGATTTTATTAGATATATAAATATTGATTAGGTTTAGGCAAAGGTAATAGTATACTATATTATTAATTTTATTATATTATTAAATTAAATAAATTCAAAATCAACCGACTCAAAGTCAGCAGAGCGCATCTCTGGATTTTCTCTGCATTCGATTGCAAATCACAGATACATACATGTGCACACATTCAACTGGCAAGGATTCTCTATGCCAGCCACGCCCACTTATGCCCACCACCAACTGCAGCCTTAAGCGCAGTGAGTATTTCGGTCGTTCATCTGTTATTGTTTACGTTGCGTTCGCTTAATTGGAAATTGAATTAACATAACTGAATGCGCATTAAGTAGCTATATGTGGTGAGGGGAGGGGAAGGGGAAGAGGGGTGGCCTGCAAGGCTGCGTTCTTGATAAGCCGATGGCTCGTCGCGTTTGTTGTTCGCGGATTAATGTCGGGCATTAATATTAATGAGAAATATCATTTGTATATCGCATGTTCGGATTAAAATCAACGCATGCCAAGCCACGCAATCGTCGGGGACTGTGCAACTATTGAGCTGGCGCAAAGTTGCGATTGGCCAGTGGCCATGCAACATGTGGCAGGCTTATGAAACGAAGCGAACTCCAATCAAAATTAAGCTCTGGCCCATTTAATGCTTTATGTAATCCACGATTAAGGCCATAAGCCCAGCCAAGCTGTACCCGTTCTGCTGCTCCACTCTTCTCATAGATTCGGGCATTTCGTATGTTTATGCTTTTTAATAGCTTTATTTGTCGCCATCGAAATGGCAGCATGGCCAAGTCTCGTCCTGGACCCATTAACCCACATAAAAACAGACCCAGAACTGGCGACTGTCGCGGACTTGAAAACACAATTGAAATCGAAGGCAAGGCAGCTATATGCGCTCTCTCTCTCTTTCTCTCTCTCTCTCTCTATCTCTATAGCAGATACATTTGCCCGGCCATGTTGTACACGCCTAATGCGATTTAGTTGTCCATTGATAGCGAAATGATAAATATAACGCATACGCCGCATTGCCCACTAAACAATATTTGGCTGCCCAGGCGAATTGGGTCAGCATTGAATGAATTTTTAACGATTGAATTTCTATTGCGTGAAAGCATAAATCTTCTGCTCGCGATTGTCTATTCTTTTGGCAAGAATATGAAATGTGCTTAAAAGCAAAAAATTGTGTTTTAATATAAGAGAAAAATAAAAATTTATATATATCAACAAAAGCTGCTTGGGTGAGAGAGAGAAAATACATTATAAATAACATTTGAAGCAAAGCGAAAATAATGGTAGAATAAATTCTCTTCAAGGAAAGGCAGCAGACGGTTTGGTTATATTTGGAAGGGGGGGCAGAAGGGAGGTAGTCGGGATTGCTCTGGTGTAATATTGCTCTCAAAGACAGGAGTGATAATTATTATTTATTATTAGCTATTAACTATTTATTGATATATTTTCATTGGCATAAACTTATTTATTTAGTTATTCATTTAGCTATTACACTTAAGAGTATTTGATGAGATTTTGCATTTGATTCCGGGAGGGGCAGATTCTCCATCTCTGGGTAAAACTGCGCTTCTGCAACCTTAAGAAATTTTTTAGCTCTTGGGAATACTTGATGGCCCATGCAGAATCCCTGCCTGGCTTTGGGCCTAGCTTGGCCATTCAAAGGATTTGCCACTCCTAGTCAAGTGTCTTATAAATTGGCATTTATATTTATATTATGGCTCTTTGATCACCCTTCACAAATATTCACATAAAACTCCCAGCCCCTAAGATAAAAACACGATTTTAACTTATAAATTCGCGTTGAGTTAATCATAAATCTATAAAAAAATAAAAGGAAAGGAAAGGAAAGGAAACGTCGTCAGACAGTCGCCCGTCCGTCCGCTCAAGAGACTGAAAACATTTTACCCAACTCAAGCAGCTATTGAGCAGGGCATGGATAGGGAGTATATCAATTATGCAATTGACAAGAGCTATGCGCGGGCCATTAACTTGAGAGAAGAAAAGTTGAAAAAATAGTAGAAAAAAAAGAAAACGAAGACAGCTGCATTATGAATTCAAGAGATTGCTGCCTGATTGGCCTGTCAATCCAGCGAAACCAATTTGCTCGACTACTCCGCTCACATGCCACAGACGGCCTGCAGTGTTTGCCTTCGAGTTTTGTTCGGCGGTTAGCGAGCCGCCTTAATTGGCCTTAAAAATGTACAACGGCATTTGGCATAGGCCAAATTACCATGCCGCTCGATTCCGGGAACTTGCCATTTAGCCAAAACGCAACGGCAGCCTGTCAAGCGTCTCTCCGGCCGTTTGTCCGGCAATTGAAGAAGTTGTTTACTCCATTTGTCAAATTGAGGTGAGCAATTGAATGCAATTGTTGGCTATTCAACCGATAAGTTGATATATTGAATATTTATGGAACTATGTAGATATACGATATTGTGGATTTAGTTGTTTGCTCTACTGACTGACTTTTCATCAGCTGTCGAATGCCGTGTGGGCTTTGGTTGCCATTTTAGTTTGTAGTCGACATAAGCCAGCCATTAGCCGACTTTGATCAGGCACTACGTGAGTTGTTTTCACATAAAAAGTTTAACTATCGCCCAGCTGTTGGCTGTGCATGCTGGCACCATCTAGGAGTTGCTCGACCACCGGACCACCTGCTCCACATGCCTGCAGACACCATAAAGGCAGGCAGACACATGCACACACACACAGACACACACGTACACTCAGAATCCGCAGAGAGACATTGTGAAGACATCATCATAAAGCGATTAGCGAAACTAAAAGTGCCATTAAAGTGCGTCTCAACACACAGACTTGAATGCAAAATGGCCTGAAGGACATTTGCCATTCAGTTAGCAGCGTGCTCGAATGAATCTCGAAATGAATATTCAATACTTGACGCTTATGCATCATAATGTTGTCTATTGTTGGGACTATATGAGCGATTGGATAGAAGCGAATTTCTGCTGACTGAGCAAATGACTCTGCATTTTCGATAGGTTTTTAATACACCATATCTAGTCACTTGGAAAATGTATTCCCAGGGTATATTGCAGTCGTGTAGCTCGTGCGCCATCAGGCAACGCCCATTCGCCGCCCAGTTTGAAACGCTTGTTTTCATTCCGGCCGAGCAAAACAAGTGTCAACAGAAACTAGATCAACTGGGACGAGGACAAACGAGGACGACATGAAAATGAAAACAAGTCAAGTCAAAGTTTTCGACGTTCGATTGCCGAAGATGGAATACACTTGAGTTGTTTGAAACAATTATCCGATCTTAACCTAAATTTCGCAATGTTGCGCCATGAATGAAGAAGACCTTACTCTTAATAATGCTGATGGTAACGGTAATGATAGCTGTTGGAGTGTAATCGTCGTTTTGTTTTGCTCACAATGAATGATGATAATGATGGCAATGATGACATAAAGAATTTGACAGCAAATTGTCACATGGTAATTATTAGAATATTAATATTACAAAATAGGAATATTAATAATGATGCCAATAAAAAAACATATATAAATATAATTAATAAAAAATTAACACTAATAATAATGATCAAATTAAAAAAAAAAAATGTTTCTAATAATCTGATAATGTCAATTTTAATAATAATATTGCTGAAGGTGATAATAGTATTAACAATAATATTACTA